ATTTATATACATAGTGCTTTTTTTGGGTTCGCCAAATTTTAGTGGTAGTGCAAATTTTTTTTGAAAAATCACTAAATTTAGTGGTAGTGCTATTAAAATTTCACTACCACTAAAATTTAGTGGTAGTGCAATTTTTTTTAAATATCACTAAACGGTTAGTGGTAGTGCAATTTATTTTTCACTACCACTAACCCTTTAGTGGTAGTGGAATTAAAAATTGCACTACCACTAATTATTTGATTCTTAGTGCACTAAAAATTTAGTGCAATATGCCCAACCCTGGTAAATAATCCTGAAGTTATGAGTATTGATAGTGAGGTTTCTAAGAAAACCTCCCAATCTACTCGTAACATACAGGAATTATCACTTCCTTCACTTACCACTAGTGATCGTCCCGAGACTGCTACTGGCAAAACTCAACCTGTCCAAAGATCATTATCTATGGCTCCCGCCATGAAAATGATATTTGCAACAAGGTTTGCGCCAGAAACAACGGCCGATGACATAATGTATTACATAAAATCAAAAACTGAGGGAGATTACTTTTTGAGATGCTATAAGCTCCGATCTGCATTTTCTGAAAGTAGATCTTCCTTCAAAATCGTTGTGCCTGAAAGTATTTTTGTACAGTTGATTTTAAAAGAATTTTGGCCTACTAGGGCATTTATTAAAGAATTTGTGGAGAGATCCGATAATTTAGCGCATTTGCCTCTTAGACCAGATTCGGTGCCAAAAAAACTAAATGACTCATTTTCTATTTGCTATCAGAATGTGAGGGGGCTTAATACAAAATTAACCAGTTTATATACTGATAGCATTGGTTTCAATTATAATGTATTGGTTTTCTCCGAAACTTGGTTAAAAACATCTATATTAAATAGTGAAATTTTATGTTCAAAATATCAAATATTTAGAAAAGATCGTGTTTGTAAAAAAGGTGGTGGCGTCCTTATTGCAGTTGATACCAAATATACCACTAATTTAATTGATCTAAATGATTTTCTTGATATAGAATTTGTTGGTGTTTCCATTGAATTGGGCATATCTAAATTGTTTGTAACTTGCTCTTATATTCCCCCTTCATCTTCACTTGACATTTATAATCAGCATTTATCAGCAATAAATTTAATCACTGAAAAAATGAAAGATTCCGATCGCATTCTGATCCTTGGTGATTTTAATATGCCCTCCATTAGGTGGCTTCCAATGCCAGATTCTGAAGCTTTGATTCCTTTGCCATCCGAAATGAACAGTACTCAGTATACATTTGATGTTATAAATAGTTTGTGTGACTTAAATCTTTATCAAATAAACAGTGCGAAAAATTCCCTCGGCAAAATTCTTGATTTGGCGTTTGTAAATATAACGCAGCATTTTGATATATTCAGAATTCCTCCAATATGCACTCCTGAAGATATATACCATCCAACTTTATATATCTCCATGACTCATAGTTATGTAATTGAAGAAAGTCAGTCCGACTCATTTAAAACTGTCCTTAATTACAAAAAAAAACTAATTTTCGAAAATTTAATACCCTCATTTCCTCCGTAAATTGGGCTTCTGTGTGCCTGTGTAACAGCCATAAAGATTTAGAATATGTAATTGATAAATTTTATGATATTTTAAATAGATTTAAACTGGAATGTGTTCCAACCACTAGAGTTAAAAATTCAAATAAATATCCATGGATTACCCCTGAGTTATCAAGTTTAAAGAATTCTAAAAATAAGCTTTTTCGAAAATATAAAAAATTAGGCTTATCAATAGACTACACAAATTACTCTGTTGCCAGATCTAAATATACTTAAGAGTCTCGTAGATGGTATAATCTTTACCTAGACAAGATTAAAATTAATTTTAAATCCAATCCTAAATCTTTTTATGATTTTGTTAATCTAAAACGAAAAGTTTTCTCAAAGCCCTCTGTATTGAAATATAACAACAAAGAATTTGTCACAGGCACAGATATTGCTGAATGTTTCGCAGATTTTTTTGCCACAACCTATTCCAGTACATCTTGCCAAATTAAAGATTCGTATCCTTATAAGTTGTCACAGGCTGATCAAATTTGTATGCCTTTTCTACAACGTCAGGATGTGTACAATAGTCTGCGTAGTTTAAAATCGATTAAATGTCCAGGACCGGATGGCATACCTAATATAATTCTTAAATATTGTTCAGAAACATTAGCACTTCCGTTAACTATATTGTTTAATTATTCACTGAAATTTGGTCACTTTCCTACTTTCTGGAAAAAATCTTATATTATACCTTTACATAAGTCTGGTAGTCTTACTAATGTGTCAAATTATAGAGGAATTGCAAAATTAAGTGCCATACCTAAATTGTTTGAAAAATTAATTACTGCAGTAATTTCACAGAAAATTCAATCTATATTGAGTCCATATCAGCATGGTTTTCGTAGTGGTCTTTCAACTACAACAAATCTTATACAATTTACGTCAACAGTAATAAAAGGATTTGTTCAGCGTAAACAAACTGATACAATTTATACTGATTTTAGTAAAGCTTTTGATAGGGTTAACCATGAACTCCTAATATATAAATTAAATTATATGGGTTTCAACACAAACTTAGTCAAATGGATATCATCTTACTTAAAAGATAGATCACAACTAGTTTTGTTTGAAGGGTATCTATCCAAAACGATTAACGTTCCATCGGGTGTTCCGCAAGGAAGTCACCTTGGACCGGTCCTCTTTCTTTTATTTATCAACGATTTACCTAATTCCATAAATTACTCGAAATTGTTAATGTACGCAGATGATGTTAAATTATTCATTTCCCATAATTGTGATAAACGAGCCAGTTTACTTCAAAACGATTTAGATAGCCTTTTTAAATGGTGCAAGTTAAATTGTATGGAGTTAAATTTAAGCAAATGTAAGCATATTACAATATAATATTGACGGTCATTCATTATCAACTGTAGATTCATTTGTCGATCTAGGCCTCTTGATGGATCCAAAATTAAATTTTAATAGCCATGTAATAACAATGGTAAATAAAGCAAATGGTGTTTTAAGTTTTGTTAAACGGTGGGCCAAAGAATTTTCTGATCCATATATAACAAAACAATTATTTACGTCTCTTGTTAGACCTATATTGGAATATGGTTCTGTTGTATGGGATCCTCAATATGCAATATATTACGATAAAATAGAATCCGTGCAAAAACAATTTCTGCTATTTGCCTTACGAGGTTTACATTGGAATAGTGATTTTGTTTTGCCTTCTTATGCTAGCAGGCTAAAATTAATTAGATTGCCTACACTTAAAAGCAGACGTATTATGTTGAACTCCATGTTTGTACTAAAAATATTAAATGGTTATATACCTTCAGATTTCCTAATCTCATCTATTAGAATTAATGTTCCTTTTAGATCTAGTAGATACTACCAATTATTATATACTGATTTTCACCGCACGAATTATTCAATGGGCGAACCTCTTAATAAAATGTGTGTTGACTTTAATTCTGTGTATTATAATGTAGATTTTTGTATGAGTTTAGAAGTTATTAAATCTAGAATAATTTTAGTTTTAAACAATTAACATACATGTTTTATTATTTGACAAACTAGCTGATGAATTAGATTCTGTAGCTGGTTTTCAATTTCCTACTGAATTCCCATTATGATGCGGATCATGATGTGTACGATCCCTCCGTAAAGGGAGGTCGCCCCCTCGGTCGGCAGGGGTGGGAATGTGAGGCGTGGGAACGTTCGAAAAAAAAAAAAATAATAATAATAAAATATAGAATAATTGTTTTCAAATGAGTAAAAAAAATTTTCACCGGCTAATGAAATATTTTATTTAAAGGCCTACTAATTTTCCACCATGGTACGGATCATGGTGAGTACGGGACCACTACTTATTGGGTAGGTCGCCCCCACGGTCGGTTGGGGTGGGAAAGAGTGGCGTTGGGAACGATTGAAAAAAAAAACAAAAGAAACAACAAAACTATTCTTCTACATGTAAGTCGTGTGAAAATATATCTGTAAATGCCGAAATCTAAATTCTGGAAAAATATTGGCTACAATCATCAAGGTAACGAATATCAGGAGGATAGGGGCTAAAGAAAAATGTTGACTTATAAAGAAGAACTCATTACGAAATACAAATGCTGAATTTTTAGTATGTGGCTAAAATAGTCAAAATACCAAATATTGGGAAGTACCTCTATATGGGGGCCATAGAAAAACGTGGACCTATATAAGCAAAGCTCTGCAAAAAAGTAAAACATGTTATGAACTCTAAATTCCGAATTTTAAACTTTTCCGTTAGGATGTGAGTCAAAAATATCGAGAGGTACAGTTATATGGGACTATACGAAAACGTTGACTATATGGCTCATCTTCGAGCTTGACCTGACTGCATACAAAAGGCAATTCTATGCAACATTTTAGCTACCTATCACATGCCGTTTGAACTCTAGCGTGCTTACAACAAACAGACGAACGGACATAGCTAAATCTATTTAGAATTTTACTCTGATGAAAAAATACGTGCTTTGTTTGAAATGATTAGAATTTTACACTGATCAAGAATATATATACTTTGTTGGGTCTAAAATTATTATTTCGATGAGTTGTAAATGGAATAACACATTTAATAAACCCTGCATACTATGTATGTGGAGGGTATAAAAACATATCAAGGTGAACATATGATATTTGAATTGAGGTGCTTTGGATCTCGATTTCCATTATGACTACACTTGCTGGAAGATTGCTGAACGCTTTTTAGGCGTTTGTGTTATCACCAAAATTAAAAATATTCAGTAATGGCCAAAATGCCAAATAATTGGTAGAAATTGGACAAATGAAATTAAGGGGAAAGTGAAGTCCAGAATCTACTGTATTGAAATTCCAAAAATATTTAAGTCCAATGTATAACAATTATCTCTATGAAAAAATTTATAACGTTTGCTGGGCAACAACTTTTATATTACATTTGATAATAAAAACACTTACTTGAGGAAGATCAATTTTTTTTTCGGTTGAATTCGCTTCTTTTCCAACACGTAAATCTTTAAGATCGTCCATGAAGTCGATTGTACGCTCACCATACACTTTGCATCGCAAATTTGGCAATTCAAAAAACTCATTCTCATATAGAGAAAAGCTGTTAATATTACTTTGATTTGAGTTTGATAAATTGCAATGTGACACATTCTTTTTCGGTTTTGAAAAATATTGTCTTTCGTTCTCAAATAGAGTAATATCAACGCTGTTTTCAATGCACAAAGTATTGTTCGACAAGGGCTTATTGATTAAATACTTTAGTGTATTGTCGTTTACATTTTGCGTTGATTCGTCGCAATTTTCGCCAAACAATTCTTCTGGCCTTGAAAATGTCGATTTTTGTGGGTTTTGTATATTTGGGTTGGCGGCATTTTCAAATTCTGGTACTTTTCCATCCATTTCCTCTACATTTATATGGTCCGATACTTCGTACGAATTGTCCCAAGTTTTAGGTTCCTTTTCCACATGAAACTCCCTAAGAATAACTTGTTAGCTCAATGTGTTTTATTAAAAAAAAAAAAAATACCTGACTAAACGTTTTCCACTGAAACTGATTCTTCTCTTCAGGCGTGGTGTCACAGCTGAGGCTCCGTTTTCATCATCTTTCGGAATGTATTTTCGTAGCTATAACCACAAAATAAAGTGAATTGTTGTAAACCGAATTAAAACATATTACTTACAGAACTTCTTCGTTTTTTTAAATCCATTGTTATTTGTTTAATTTATACAAAAAATTCCAAATAGAGATGCTGCCGCGTTCAAATGTTTAAAATTTCACGACACTGCTTGTATTGGCTGCTTTGAACATCGATAATAATAAATAGTAGTAATCGGAAATGTGCAATAATACCATGTTCTCATGGACATTTCAACTAATTTTCGATCTCACAACGTTACCTAAAATTCGACGTAGCGTACACAAATATTCAACTTCCCCACTATGGTAAAACGTTACGTTAGTGAACATTTATATGTATGCGTCACATCTTGATGCATCAAGCATCAGAATTTTTTAATTTTTCTCGTGCATCAGAATTTTTTAATTTTTCTCGTGCATGACGCTCGATTTTGACGGGTGCGCGGTGGAGGGATCATGCATATTCTGTCGGTGCATACAGATGTCGGATACTGAAAAAATGTTTTTGGGTGTTGAAGTCGGTTTATTAAGAAAATCAATATGAAGTATCGATGCCGAAATACCGAAAAATTAATTAGAGACTAACGCAGGCTTAGTAATACCTCGTAAGTGAAACTATTCATTTTTTAAATAATTTTAAATATATTTTCGAGCGTGAATTCAATATTTTTGTGCATTTTTTTCGTCCAGATTCTGTTATATATTTTACATTTTTCGTTTACTTTCTTTTTCAAGCACACGGGCTTTTTCAACCACACGGGCTGTACCGTTCGTTATGCTATGTTCTCATTACACTTTCAATCACGTTGTTCGCTCTCAGAATTTTGTACACGAATTAACCCGTTCACACGGCACGATTCGTAAAATAATTCCTTTTTTCAAAAAATTTGTTTGTTGATTTTAATGTGGATTTATACGAAAATACATGAAATTCTCACTAATATGAATAGAAGAAATTATTGCTTTTCTCCCAAGTTAATTTTACAATTTTCATTCACGTTTTCAACTTTTTCTGTAAATGTTGACATTTTGAACATATTTGTGTATTTTTCTATTTTTAATTCTGCTGGAGAGACACTTGTCAAATTTTTTTTCTGCGATACAAATATTTTGAAAATATTGCCTCTTTTGTTTGCAGTTTTCTGTGAAAATTTCAACTCGTGGACAAAATGCGTACCTCGAATGAGAGAGACAACAAAATGTACTTACGTTTGAATGTACATACGCCATTCAACATAGTAGTTTTCAGTCTTTCTAAAAATTTTTAAAATTTTATTAAATTTTTCTATTTTTAATTTTTAAATGTCATACTTTATTTTTTCGATAAATGCTCTCATTTATTAGAGATGGGACAGCGAAAAATAGCTGTTCTGAGCAGTGTTGCCAGTATTGAGGAATTTTCTCCAAAAAGGGGATATTTTTTTCAAATTGGGGACGAAAAATTCAAGTTGGGGACTTAAGGATTTAGTGGGGATTTTTTAAAAAATTGCGGAATTTGTGAGAATTTTTTTTTCAATAAAAATTCTAACTACCTTACTTATTTTGATATTTACATCCGTAACGCATAAATAAAATACGTTTCCCACTAACCAGACAAAGTAGTTATAATTTATACCAGATTTAAGAAATGGATTTGCTATCTACTTATCTCTTTCCATACTCTGTGTTTGCCTATAACATATACACATTGCGATTTGGAAAAAGAGTCTCGGTTGTAGTGATGTCAAAAAAGGTATATTTGTAGAACAGTTACCATGGTAGAAGAATATAGGTAGACGCTTCGACACAGCTGCTGGGACATTGAACTGTCAAACCAATTTTGGAATCGAAATTGTTGAATGACAAAATACTCAAATTTGTAAATATTGTTAAAAAATGCATATTATAACAACCTCCTCCGTGTAGGAAAACATACACAAATTTACATATTTTTGAAGAACTATTTAAAAATTTCTGACATATTAATGTTCCCAAGCGTAGATGCATCTACCTGTATTTTTCTACCATGACAGTTACATTGATATTTGCATTGAAAATGCTAAAAGTTGCATGATTGTTTTAAATAGAAGGTGCCAACCAGCAATGTATGTGTAGAACGATTTTTTTCAGGTATGAACTCAGTGAAACCAAACTTAGATATAACAAGTAAAAAAGCAGTAAGTTTGGCCGGGCCGAACTTTGAATACCCTCCACCATTTGGAACGAATGAAAAACTTATCCAACAAAGAGATCAATTAAAAATTCTGTTAAAATCTTTAAAATACTTAATATCGGAAGGTGCCGATATATGGGGGGATATACGATTTTGTGGACCTATATAGACAAATCTATATCTGATGGTAAAGTACTCACAAGGAACTCCTTGTGTGGATTTTCAGATAATTCCATTGAAAAAATGGCTGAAATCATCAAAATACCGAATATCGGGTTGTACTGTTATATGGGGGATATACGATATCGTTGGCCTATATAGACAATTCTCTGTCAGGGGGTAAAGTACTTACAAGGGACCTATTTGTGGAATTTCAGACAATTCCATTGAAAAATGTTGCTAACATCATCAAAATACCGAAAATCGGGGGGTATGGGGGCTATACGATATCGTGGCCCGATATAGCCCATCTTCGAACTTGACCTGCCTGCAGACAAAAGAGAGATATGTGCACAATTCTAGCTTCCTATCTCAATTTGTTTAGACTGTATCGTGATTACAACAGACGGACGGACAGGGCTAAATCGTCTTAGAATTTTTCCACAATATGGTATATCCCCATATATCGGCACCTTCCGATGTTAGATATTTTAAATATTTTAAAAGAATTTTTAATGGATTAATTTTTTAAAAATTTTCTTATTCGTTCCAAATGGTGGAGGGTATTCAAAGTTCGGCCCGGCCGAACTTACTGTTTTTTTTACTTGTTATTATTTCGATGAGTTACAAACGGAATGACGAACTTTTTATTTCCTCCTTACTATGTATGGTGTAGGGTATAAAAAATGCAGTATGATTTGTTGGAAGCTCTTTTATAAATAATAAATAGTCAATTTTCAAATAATTCTATTTGCTGCAAACATTTTGAGCCTACCAAGAAAAGTTAAAGCTTTTAAATTATAAGAATTGATATAAACCAAATGAGACTGAAAATGCTGACGATTTAGAATTTGAAGTTTTGACGTGGTTGCATTGCAACTTTGAAAACTCTAGTCTATGAAATTAAAATGTTCTATTTATTTCTTATTTTCAATTTTATGTTATTTTACATGTATAATATGCAAGATAAACTAGTCTATGAATAGAATTCTATGTACAAATATTTTTTCAAATAAATTTACTCTGTTCATTTTTTGTTAAATACTTGGGGATTTTTTTTTTTTGAGGAAATTGAATCAAATTTGAGGAGATTTGGGGAAACGTTTTTTGATTTTGGGGACGAGAGACTGAATAATACTGGCAATACTGATTCTGAGAGTGATTTGATTTCAACAATTTACAAATATGAGTGTTCGCTCAGGAAATTTTGTGTGAAGAATTAGGTAGTTTTTTCATAGTTAAGGGTCAAAAAACGAATAGAGAGCAAATCGAGTGCAGTGGAAACGCCACATTATCGACATTGTCTGCACATTTCGAAATCAAGAGCAAAATGAATGTTCGAACCGTGTGCGCTGAAAGCTTTATGCACACGTATGCGATTTTAATGTCATGTATTTTGCCCGCATACGGGGCATTTTATACATTTGACAACATTTCATTGTCAATTTTTATTCATAAATCAACGGTAGACGAATACAGGTAGTCGCTGGGACAATGAACTGTCAAACAAATTTTGGAATTGAAATTTTTGAATGAAAACCTATTCAAATTTGTCAAAATTGTTAAAAAAAATCCATATAATAACAACTTCCGATTGGGGTCGTATACGAAAACATATACAAACATACCTATTTTTGAAAGTATATTTCAAAAATTTTGACATATCAATGTTTCCAAGCGTTGATGCATCTACCCATGGTACAATGAAGAGAAGGTAGGTCAACTTTGAAAAAATTGCAAGTATAGAGGTCTACCTGTTTGGCTTGTAATGTCAGAATTAGTATCAAAACAATAAAAAATCAAACAACTTGTTGCATTTATTTTGAATAAATAATTGAAAACCGCGAAAACTGAATGAAAGGTCAACACTTCTTTTCAAAACCAGGTTCTATATGTCTCTAAAGGATTATTTCGCTACAAAAACTCTAGATTTTGTCGATGCATACGATGAAATAAACATTTTGAAAACATCCGAATTTGAATGTTTTCTGAACAATTTTTTTGTTATTGAAAAGAAAACACATACATAAACAAATAAAGATGACATATTAAGCCAAGAAAATAAAAAAATTGAAATCATATGGTATCATTGCCCTACCTTGATATCATTGTACCATGCATCTACCCATGGTACAATGAAGAGAAGGTAGGACAACTTTGAAAAAATTGCAAGTATAGAGGTCTACCTGTTTGGCTTGTAATGTCAGAATTAGTATCAAAACAATAAAAAAATCAAACAACTTGTTGCATTTATTTTGAATAAATAATTGAAAGCCGCGAAAACTGAATGAAAGGTCAACCAGGTTCTATATATCTCTAAAGGATTATTTCGCTACAAAAACTCTAGATTTTGTCGATGCATACGATGAAATAAACATTTTGACAACATCCGAATTTGAATGTTTTTTGAACAATTTTTTTGTTATTGAAAAGAAAACACATACATTAACAAATAAAGATGACATATTAAGCCAAGAAAATAAAAAAAATTGAAATCATATGGTATCATAGCCCTACCTTGATATCATTGTACCATGCATCTACCTATATTCTTCTACCATGCATAAAGGAGCAAGTACATAAAAAGCTTGAAGTCATGGCTAGGCATATTAATGTCAAATTATAAAGGAAAACGACGGCAGGATTTTAGTGCGGCTTTGTAATTCCTTTATGAAATGTCACAAAATATGCCCAGCCATGACTTCAAGCTTCTTATGTACTTGCTTCCTAAATCCTTTGTATCATGGTAGAATAATACAGATAGTCACATCAACACAGCTGCTGGGACAATGAACTGTCAAACCAATTATGGAATTGAAATTTTTTAGCCAAAAATTATTCAAATTTGTCAAAATTGTTAAAAAAAATGCATATCATAACAACCTCCGATAGACGTCGTATCATTGTTTCTTCTGAAAAAAAATCGGGAAGAATAACAATGGCATAGTTGTGTTTGTTGATATAAAATTCAATGTAGTTTTTGTATTATAGAATTCATTTTAGTTTTTGTATTATAGAATTAAATGTAGTTGAAGTACCTTGAGACTCTCCATCAGGATTGTTGGTAGGACTATTGTGTTCTGAAACACAACTCTACTCTACTACCCATCCATATTGTTGTTTCTCATCGGATATTGTTTCTTTTTTTTTGTACGAGCATTCATTTAAAATATTGGGGTAACCGGATATTTTTTTCAGAAATATTTTCTTTGTCATAATCAGGGTAAAAATATCTACCTCGAAAATAGTTTCAAAATGATCCAAGCATAGGACTGATAATAAGTACCTATTATTATAACCAAATGTCGAACTTTTGTAGAAAATCTTTGTTATGTTTATTAATAGGATAATATACACATTACAATGACGTCTACTAAAACAAACTTATAATCTAACTTAGTCTTTCACTTTTTTACCTAGTCGGGAAGCCATCAACGCATTCTATATGTATTGTTTTCATTCATTTCAGAATGTTCTCCCTTAAAGTGAACTTCAATATTAAAGTCCAGATCACGGTTATTTCGTTCATTTGGTTTCATTTTGAATGTGCCTTTAATTTCTTCGCCCTTCTTTACAGTTAGATAATCATCAAGGTAAAACACTGTCTGCTTCCAATGGGTATATGTGGCTTCCGGAGAGGTACTAAATCCAAGGCGTTTGTGACACTTCGTAAACTCAATATTGAAATAGGTCACCAAGGCCTGTACAAAATCATTTCTTTTTATAACTAAATTAAATGGCGAAGTAAATTCCAGATCAGATTTTTGAACAGTATACAAATCAACTTCTTTTATGAGACAAGAAGTTGACGCGACTTGTTTTGGATCAACAACGTCTACTAACGGCTCAGTTATAGCAACTTTGCGAATACAACTCATATCAAAACCATACACGTCATCCCACCAATTTATTTTTTCATCTTTGTACTGTCGATCCTCGATGGCTGTAATATACAAAGTACCACGATCGGGGAACATCATTCCATCAGTTTTCAGCCATTTATCTCGAGCAAATAGCACGGTGTCCAACATGGACTCATAAAAGAGGCAGTACCTTAAAGAGTCAATAATGTTTATTTAATAAACATTGTTATTATTCCGAAACATATACGTACCCCATCCACTCGGAAATTATGATATCCACCTTCTCAATGCCGTTCGGTAATTCAATGTCCTCTATTTTACCTTTAACTACTTTTACAACTTCATTCAAGTTATTGTCAATTACCACTTGTCGAGCATATTCTACAATATTAGAGCAATCAACAGCAATTACGGTGGAGGCGCCAGCTTTAGCGGCAAACATTGATAAAATGCCAGTCCCGCACCCAACATCCAGAACGACCTAAAGTTACTTTATGTATAAAACGAATAAAACATGCTTTTCTTCCTACCTTTCCACGAAATAAGTGTTTATTGTGGTACATCGCGTTCCGATACGTAATGGTTCTAACTTCATCTTTCAACATCTCCTCGTGAATTCCAAAATGGGCGTAAGAGTCGAAATAATAATCACGAGAAGTCATTTCTTCGGCCGATGTTGCCGGTATATCACCCTTAGATGATGCTTTTTTTATCACGTTATTTGATACATTGTTGGCGTTGCTTGTGGAGTTCATAATTATATCCTCAGACTGCAAGAACAACAAATTTTATCAACATGAAATTAAATAAAAACAAAAAAACTTTACCATTCTTGGATTTTCCGTGATAGAAATGTGAGAAATCGCTACTAAATTTCGCGACTGCAATAAAAGTGTAAAAAATGGTTCTAATTATTTTGTGCCCCACCACTGTAAACGTTGAAGCGAGAAGACAAAGTGTTGCCAAGATATAAAATTAAAGCGTGCTCAATAGTTTCGCGCGACCATTGGGCACATTTTGAAACTTCTGTATCACCCTGTAACCAGACAAAGATAAATATGTATTACATTTGTGGGAAAGTTACTCAGCAACGTAAAGTATACACCAGAGTATTTCCCAAAATTCGACGTGTCGTACAAAATCAAGACATAAATTAAGAGCAAAGTGTTTTAAGACAGTTGCTATTAAAGATACTATGGCCGGTTATCACATCTTGCCGATAGATAAAAATGTGATGCTGTCGGACACATAAATTGTTTTTCGTTATTACAAGTTTCATTTAAGTATGAACTGTCCGACAAGCAAAAGGTCAAACCATCTTTCCTTTATCTTTTAACATAAAGTTTACTGAATACATGTTGCCATATTTTTCATTGATAATATGGCAATAACAGCAAAATAAAAAAGGATAACGCAAATCGTTTATTTTATATTGAAGAACTGAATTATAAATTTTTTTCACGAAATTAATCACAAATTCGCATTTTGTTTATTAATTTTAAACTAAAATAAAGTGACTAAATGCAGTGAATACTAATTCCTCCTAAAAACTTGCCATATCTCTGTAATAGCATGTTTCCATTGGAAACCGAACAACGTTGTTCGCTCTCAGAATTAAGTACACGAATTAACCCGTTCATACGGCACGATTCGTAATTCATAGTAAAATAATTCCTTTTTTCAAAAATTTTGTTTGTTGATTTTAATGGGAATTTATACGAAAATACATGAAATTCTCACTAATATGAATAGAAGAAATTATTGTTTTCCTTTTACAATTTTCATTCACGATTTCAACTTTTTGTGTAAATGTTGACATTTTGAACACATTTTTGTGTTTTTCCATTTTTAAATTCTGCTGGAGAGACACTTGTCAAACATTTTTTCTGCCGATAGAAACATTTTGAAAATGTTGCCTCTTTTGTTTGCGTTTTCTGTGGAAATTTTAACTCGTGGACAAAATGCGTACCTCGAATGAGAGAGAAAACAAAATTTACTTTCGTTTGAATGTACATACGCCATTCAACATTGTAGTTTTCATTCATAATTTTCAGTCTTCCCAAAAATTTTTAAAATTTCATCAAATTTTTCTATTTTTAATTTTTAAATGTCATAATTTATTTTTTCGTTAAATGCTCTCATTTGTTAGGGATGGGACATATTTTTTCGTTGTTCTGAGAGTGATTTGATTTGAACAACGTACAAATATGAGTGTTCGCTCAGGAAATTTTGTGTGAATAATTAGGTAGTTTTTTCATAGTTAAGGGTCAAACAACGAATAGAGAGCGAATCAAGTGCAGTGGAAACGCCACATAAGATATTTGAAATAATTCCGGCGAAGAATCATGAAAATACCGAATATGGGGGGTACTGTTATATGGGGCCTATACGATATCGTGGACCTATAATTCTCTTCCAGTCCACGATATCGATAGCCCCCCCGATATAAGGTTATTTGATGATTTTAGCTACATTTTTCAATGGAATTGTATGGAAATTGTACACAAGGAGTTCTTTATGAGTACTTTAACCCCTGACAGAGAATTGTCTATGTAGGTCCCCGATATCGTATATCCCCATATAACGATTTTTTCTGAAATATAGAGCATGCTCTCAAATATTTTCATGCTCTCATGGCATATTTTTTGTAAAATTAAAAAAATAAACCCATCTGAACTTTTCGCCTTGATTGAATAAAATAATTCTTTCCTTCATGGTACAATGAAATGAAGGTAACCTCATTTCAAAGAAACAATCCAAAGTCTGCATTTCCTGTAATTTACTTCGTCCAATTTAACTCCACAAAAATCAGGTTCCCAGTTTTGGTTTGTATTTATGCAAAGGGTTAAAGAATAAACGTTTTGACTATGAGATGTTTTTAAAGGTATACTTGTGAAAAAATTTAAACATATGTTTGCATGACTTTATCATCGTAGTTCTACCCAAGGCTCAATAAGAAAGGTTGCTCAACTTCAAAGAAAGTAGAAAAAACTCTGCGCTGGAGTCTTATAATGTCAAATAGACTTTTAAATGCACAATAGTTGGTTTCGTTTATTTTTCATTTTTAAAAAAATCTTATATTGGGAAAACCCGCGAAACAAGAATGGAATTTTGGGGTTATTCCACAAGATTGAATCTAAAATAATAGGACAATGCAGTTTTATCCCAATATAGTACAATTTGTTGCCCGTTGACATCGAAAATATTCATTTATTTTGCAACTGAATTTGAAATTATTTCAAATGACTGTATTTTTATTCAAAACAATACACACACACATACACAAAATGTGTATATGTTTTGACAGAATAAGGACAGCAAAAGAAAAAATTGTATATAGGGGTTAGCTTTGTTCTACCTTTTGTAATTGTATCATGGTTCTACCCATGGTACAATAAAATCGAGGTTTTTCTCGGTGTTTTTTCCCGATTTTAAAATTTTTGCAATGAGTTAGTCTCCCTTCCACCATATAATTTGGTACAAAACCCGCCTGCAATTTCCGTTCTCAAAAAATCGAGTCAATTCAATAATGTTAATCAATTTGAAAAAAAACCGTTCGTACGCGATAAAATATTGATTTTTTTCATATCTTATACTCTGGTATTATTCGTATAGTTCCACTTACCCAATAAATACATAAAATCTATAAAAAAAAAAACAATTTTCTCCATTGTCGCTTTATACTACCCAAAAAAGTCTACACATCACACTAGAATTCAAAAAAAAAAAAAAAAAAAAAAAACACTACAAATGTACATTCGAAAATAGTAAGTCAAAATGAAAAAAATTATGCAAAATAAAACATTACTATTGTACATTCCAAAAGTCAAACCGAAAAATATCAAATTTATCACTTTTAATATTTTCCCGCAAGAGACAATTCTGAATTTGTCTGAATCGTTAAAATCAGAACAGCTGTTCTTGAGTTATAAGGATAGTAACCAACACAACTTTCTTTTATATATATGATAAAATTTAAATAAAGGAAGTAAAAAAGTACAATATTTTTTTATATAAAATACAATATAATAACAATGTAATCAAAAATTAAAAAAAAACACATATGCATGTATGTGATATCAAAAATTATTGATCATATGCACAATGGTAATTTTGACATACACTAAGAAATACTCATGGATAATAAAAGGGACTGTACATATCTAAAAACCATTCCATCCGATAAGGCCTGTAATGACGCAATTACTCTTTAAAAGAGTAATATCAGCTGAAATTTCCAAAAATTGCTGAAATTTCCAAAAATATTAAATAACAACAATTATGAATAACAGAACGAGATAAATAGTGTATGTGATTTTGTGGCCGAAAAGCGTAGTTAAATTCCCATGAGAACTTGATAAAAGTATCGTGGAAACGGTACATTAGACTACAATAGACTCATGGCAGAAAAATACAGGTAGATGCAAATCTTATATTGGGAGCTTGGGAGCATTGATATGTCAAAAACTTTTAAATTTCTTTTCAAATATAAGTAAATTTTTATATGTTTTCTTATACGACACAAATCGTGGGTTGTTCAGATATGCATTTTTCAAAAATTTTTACAAATTTAAATAATTTTTCATTTCAATTCCAAAATTGGGTTGACAGTACAGTTCATTGTCTCAGCGGCTGCATCAATGCATCTACCCAAGGTAGATGTACTAGGCAATCGCATCAGCCCAGCTGACGGCACCATTAAATGTCAAAACGAATTGTTGTAATGAAGAATTCGCCCTAAATGAATGCAACAACAAATTTGTTTATGTTGTCTTCCCTAAAAGTATCTTTTTATAATATTTCAAATAATTTAAGAGTAAGTTAAGAGTGAAACCAGTAAAAAATTAAAAGAACATGAAGGAAGGAGGTTAGAATGGAGTGCAGCTTTAAGAATTAAGTTAGCCTCAACATCTAAGATTCCCAAAGCACATCACGGGAAGTAGTGCAAGAATTAGACTCTTGTCATTTGCAGTTCCGGAAAACTTTCGGTTTAAACCAGTAAAATATAGTCATTATAAGTTTCTTTGTTTAAAAAATATCGCAATACTACAATTAATACTTATTTTAGTCTTATTTGTTTTACAATAAAAACTTTTATTGCGACGTTCGTTTACGACGAGAGGGACACAAAATAAAATGTAAACAAACACCTCGTTTCTGATTGGTTGAAACAAATTTTCCGCAACTTTTAAATGTCATGGCGAATCTATGTTTTTCGCCTTAGATGCCAATTTTGACATTTGAGGGGACCACAAAAGTTGCTTTGTTGTAGCAATTCGCCGATGCGGTTACCTGTTAGATCTACCTTGCATCTACCTATATTCTTCTACCATGATTAGACTTTTTAACACCAACAGTGATTTTTTTGCATAGAAAGTCGACCTACGTATCCCTAACTCATAAATTATTTGACGCTTCGCAGAATCGGTTTAGGCGGGAACTGTTCACATTTCGCACAGGATTTGTTTGCTAAATATTTTTGGAAAAATTAATAAGACCAACAATTAAAAATGGAAGGATTTGATGAAGCTGGAGTATTTTTCTCTGATAATTTGCTCGGAGATGGCCAACAAGATGGGAACCAAATTAATATGCAAGCCGTAAAGAAGAAATACAAGGAATTTATTCGGACATTCAATGAAGATAATTTTTTCTACAAATATCGGTAAAAGAATGTAATATTTTGTTTGTCATTTACTTCATAGTCGTATTACCCTTTCCAGAGACACATTGAAAAGAAATTATCTTAATGGACGATATTATTTAGAGGTAGAGATGGAGGATCTGGCGGGGTTTGATGAGTCGTTGGCTGATAAGTTAACAAAACAGCCGACGGAACACTTACAAATCTTTGAAGAGGCTGCTCGCGAAGTCGCTGATGAAATAACAGCGCCTCGACCAGAACAAGAAGAAAATATGCACGATATTCAAGTTTTGATTATGTCTAATGCCAATCCAACAAACATTCGCGATATAAAGTCCGACAGCGTCTCGAAGCTGGTAAAAATAGCTGGTATCATTGTGGCGGCTTCAGGAATTAAGGCGAAGGCAACACGTATGTCCATTATGTGTCAGTCTTGTCATACCGTCATTCCTAATTTGAAAGTTAATCCCGGTTTGGAGGATTATGCTCTGCCGCGTAAATGTACAACGGATCAAGCAGGAAGACCTAAATGCCCGTTAGATCCCTTTTTTGTTATGCCCGACAAATGTAAATGTGTGGACTTTCAAATTCTAAAGTTACAAGAACTACCAGACTTCGTACCACAAGGTGAAATTCCTAGACATTTACAGCTATTTTGCGACAGGTCATTATGTGAGCGAGTTGTCCCTGGTAACCGTGTACTAATACAGGGTATATATTCTATAAGAAAAGTGGGCAAACCTTCACGACAGGATGGACGAGAGAAAGCCGTCGTTGGCGTACGAGCACCCTATATGCGTGTAGTTGGGATAACGGTAGATACAGAAGGCTCTGGTGCCATTTCACGATACAGCAACATAACTAGTGAAGAAGAGGAGACCTTTCGTCGTATGGCTGCATCTACAGATATATATGAACGCTTAGCAAAGTCTTTAGCTCCAAGTATCTTCGGCTCAGACGACATTAAAAAAGCAATCACATGTCTACTCTTTGGAGGTTCTCGTAAACGTTTGCCTGATGGTTTATGTAGACGTGGTGACATCAATGTCCTTCTACTTGGAGACCCAGGCACTGCAAAGTCTCAACTATTGAAGTTCGTAGAGAAAGTGGCACCCATAGGTGTATATACATCCGGAAAAGGATCAAGTGCCGCAGGCTTAACAGCATCTGTAATGAAAGATCCAGCCACTGTAAGTATTATGTATATATATAAATGAGGAAAATATACGTTTGTTTGTTAGTAATTTATTGATTCGAAAACCGCCGAACAGATTTTCCTGAAAATTTTCAAGTACACTACAACATCGCCTGAAAGAAATATAGGCTATATACATTGTTATATCTTCCACCATTCTATATTAACTTTGTCATTCCGTTTGTAATTCCTCGAAATATTTATAAATACCCCACAGAGTATATATATTCTGGATCAGCTAAGACGATCTAGCGATGTCCGTCTGTCTATCTGTTGTAATCACGCTATCTTTCGAACGAATTTTGATAGAAGACTAAAATTTTGCATACATGCATAGTTTACCAGTAGGCAGTTTAAGTTATTAAATGGACCATGTCGGTCCACGTTTTCGTATAGCCCCATTTAACGGTAACTCCCTATATTCGATATTTTCATTATTTTAGCGACATTATTCGCCGCTTCAAATTTGTTATAGTCTTCATATAACAGTTTTCATTTAAGTGGTAGTTTGCGGAAGTTTTTTTTTAAATTTCAAGTTCCTTCCAAATGGATCAGAGGTACCTCAACAAAAAATATTCGCATGATTTCGTGTATTTGACACATCAATCGCGCTATGTATGTCACATTTCAATGAGGTTTGGAACGTGTTGCAGAGTTTGTAAGTTACGAACTTAGAGTAAATAGAGAGACATATCAACAGGTAGAAAATAACAGAAAGAGAAAAACATGAACATGAATGTTATGCTTATTGATTGTTATTCCCAACAATGCTTTCATAATTATTTTAATAGCCAAATTAAAATACTTATGCACTTATGACATGTGCAAAGGACGTTTATTTTAGGCGAATGGTTCCACAATTGCTATTTTGATGTCTCTCGAATTTAAACTTTTCTGTAGTAATATTTTATAGATACAATTTTCATTTTGCAAGCTTTTGTTCGACGTTAGTTTGTATACGGCTGAGTGATCTTTTATAATTTTTAAAATTACAAAAATTTCGTAGATATCTATAAGAATAATATGTTTAGGTAGCGGGATTTTTTTTTAATTATTAGTTGTATATATTTATGGTTATATTTGAATTGAAATCATAAAACTGATTTTAAACCAACATCCATACTTTGGAAATCCGTTTGATCTGCGAAATAAATATTCATTACAGATTTTCCTTTCACTTTTTACTACAGAATACATTTTTGTGGCACTAATGTTTGATATCCTCATTCATTCATATATACAAGTTATTTTTTTACACTTAATCCTTTAACTGATTATAACTACGTAACCATTCGAATGTATTTTTCTGAAAATGCTTTAAAATGAAAAGTTAATGATTAAATGTAGCGTATTGTGCGGGCCTGTATCATACGCTGGGCAGGCATCACGCTCATTTTCATCAATTCGTGCCCAATACGAATTGAGACGACTACACCATCCTGAACGTAATTGCGCCAAAACCTCCCTGGTCTGTCTAGGCAGCTGACGATCTTCAGCTGCAATGGATGGGATTAGTGGTGGTAGGTTATCGTAGGGTACCAATCCACTTCGGTACGGTACAGAACATTATGATACAGTACATCAATTTTTATTTTTGAACGCTGCTACGAGTTGCGTATCAGTCCCAATAATACTTGGTTAGACATTACGCATTTGGTGCACAATGAAGTCAGATGAAATATATTTGTGGGAACTGTATCCAACTTAAGAGCAATAATAATAATGAATAGGGCTCGTCCTTATTTTTAAACTCAGAGTTGCTTCCTAGTGATTGGCTCAAAAAATTAAAGGTTTCACAATTTTTTTGAATTTATGCAAATGAACCATTTGTATCATATTTAGAGTTCTGATCATATCTTGTGTTCTTTTACTTCTTTACCGAAGCATATATACAGGAAACAGCTTCGCAGTCTAATCATAAGTAATCAATTATTTTATGAAAGTACGTAAATTTCCTTTGTCACAATTCACATAACATATATATTGATAAATAGAAGTAGTACAAAATTAAAATACATGACCATGAGCGTGAAAAATAATAAATATTTTTATAATGCTGTTGTTGAAAATGCACATAAAAGAACAATGTGTATTTTTTAATTTCTCAAGCAATCAAGAAATAATTGTTTTTGAAATAGATTTTTAATTATATATTTTTTGCATTTCAGCGTAATTTCGTTATGGAAGGCGGTGCAATGGTTTTAGCTGATGGAGGCGTTGTCTGTATTGATGAATTTGATAAAATGCGAGAAGATGATCGTGTCGCTATTCACGAAGCAATGGAACAGCAAACTATATCCATTGCCAAAGCCGGAATTACCACAACATTAAACTCTCGATGTTCAGTATTGGCGGCTGCTAATTCAATATTTGGTCGTTGGGATGATACTAAAGGCGAAGAAAATATTGATTTTATGCCAACTATCTTATCTCGTTTTGATATGATTTTCATAGTGAAGGATGTTCACGACGAATCACGAGATATTACTTTGGCAAAACATATAATTAACGTACACCTTTCGTCAAATAAGGCTGGAATTGCCGAGCAAGCTGAGGGAGAAATACCATTGTCCCTTTTTAAGAAATATATTCATTACTGCCGTACACACTGTGGCCCACGTTTAAGTGAAGAAGCTGGAGAAAAATTAAAAAGCCGTTATGTTCTTATGCGAAGTGGAGCTAATCAGCAGGAAAAATCAGCTGATAAACGTTTAAGTATTCCCATTACCGTGCGCCAGTTGGAAGCTATAATTCGAATTTCTGAATCTCTTGCCAAAATGCGACTATTGCCTTTTGCAACGGATGAACATGTCAACGAATCCCTACGATTATTCCAGGTTTCAACATTGGATGCTGCGATGACAGGAAGTTTAGCTGGTGCAGAAGGCTTTACTACTGAAGAGGATCAGGAAATATTGAACCGAATTGAAAAACAATTAAAACGTCGATTTGCCATTGGGTCGCAAGTTTCGGAACAGAACGTTGTACAGGTATAGCATAAAAATTACAATGTTTGCAATCTTGTCTCATATGTCTTATAATTACAGGATTTCTTGCGGCAGAGATATGAAGAACGCAGTATTTTAAAAGTTATTCATACCATGATTCGTCGAGGAGAGCTTCAACATCGTATGCAACGGAAAATGTTATATCGTTTATGTTAAGATTAAAAATTCTAATTTCGTTGGTATTTTTTTTTTTTTCAAATAAACAATGAATCTATATCAATAAAAGAGGAAAATGTTTGTATATTTGTAATTTATGGACTCAAAAACCGCCAAACAGATTTTCTTACAAGTCTCCAACAATGCTGCATCCGAGATTTAAGATTTGTATGCACATATCTATTAACCGGTTACAGACAGATACTGTCTTCAAATTCGGAATGTGTAACAGAAATGGTACAAAAATAAATTTGCCAAATTAAATGGGAATCGGTTCAGATTTGGTTATAACTCCCACATATATTTTCGGCCGATTTTATGTATTTGATGCACCAAACACTAGGCTTATGTCTGATTCCAATACCAAATTTTGAATGAGGGAATGAATTTGGTGCAAAAAATCCTTTGTAATTATATTGAAATTGGTTCAAATTTGGATATAGCTCATGTATACATTTTCGGCGAATTTCATGCATTTCAAATTTCAGTGAATTTTGGAATGAGTGACGGAATTTGTACAAAAATATTTTTTTCAAATTGTATTGAAGTCGGTTTCGATTTTGATACAGATGTTCAGATGCATTCAAAATTCAAAATTATTTTGTGATTGAATATGTTATGAAATAAAAAAAAATATTGCAATGTTTTTTCTTTGTCTCTATAAACAGAGAGTAATAATTTGTAAACTTTAAATTTTAAGTTTTAAATTTTCTCAACTTTTTCTTCTTTTCTTAACTTAAGTTTTTATAATTTATTGTTTAAGTTTGCTGTATCGTGACTTCAACAGGCAGCGGACATCGTTAAATCGACTTTTTTATTTATGCTGATCATGAATATATACACTTTATGGGATCTACGACGAATATTTAGGGATGTTAAAAAGGGAATGACAATACTTTTCCAGGTTCTTTTAAATTTGAATGCATTTAAAAGCGAAAGGCGTAGCGAATCGCACTGTGTTAAGCTAGCTCTGTATAAATGTACGACTTTCCTAGGATATACACGTGTTAACAATAATTTTTTATGGACTCAATAAATCATAGTGTTAATGCATTCCATTCTCGATGATCATCAATTCTTATTGCCACTGGGAAATTTTGGACAGACTATTAAGTTGTAGTACATACATATGTATCACGTTGTTTACAATTGATGCAGCTCTTTATAACTATGAATGTGAACCATGCTCGTCTATATTTTTAAAATAGAAAAAAAACTAGTTCTGTCAATGTTGAAATTGTTCATCTTTGAACATTTTTACGTTCGACGTATTTCGGTAACCCCATATAAATAGTAAAGGGTGTTTTTTAAGCCCGATAGAACTTGAAATTGTAAAAAATAACACAAAAAATTAAATTTTAATATTTTTTTTTTATTCGAAAGATCAATACGTGACATTAATATTTGAAAATGATTTCGGGCATATGGGCACCGCGGCTGTTCTTGACGAAGTGCATTCTGGCGTCCAATTTTTGGCCACTTTTTCGAGCACTGCTGGCCATATGTCACGAATAACACGAACAATTGTGGCCTCCAAGGCTTCAATTGTTGCTGGTTTATCAGCATAAACCAGTGACTTCACGTAGCCCCACAGAAAATAATCGAGAGGTGTCAAATCGCACGACCTTCGAGGCCAATTGGCAGGTCCACTTCTCGAAATCAACTTATCGCCAAATTATGATTTCAGTAAGTCGATTGTTGTTGTTGTAGCAGTAGTACATGTGTGTGTTTCTGTTCTGCTAATCTGGTTCCAGCTCCAGGTTTAGAAATTCGGCTACTTTAACGGGCTGTAGCCAGAGATCCTCTGGAGTGAGTTGGGTAGGTTTGGCTGAGCAATTAAAAAGGTGTAGCGTATTGTGCGGGCCTGTATCGCACGCCGGGCAGGCGTCACGCACATCTTCATCAATTCGTGCCCAATAAGAATTGAGGCGACTACACCATCCTGAACGTAATTGCGCCAAAACTACCCTGGTTTGTCTAGGCAGCTGACGTTCTTCGGCTGCAATGGATGGGGGGTGGACTCCGAGGACGGCATTCACTTTGTAACTGCTAATAGCATCCGCGACTGCATCGGTGTGAATGCCACTCAGACCTGCCTGATAGGTTTCTTGATCTAGAGGCTCTCTCTTGTAGCGCTGGACCTCCCTCTCTAGATCATGTATGTCCTTCCTGACACGCCTGGGTGGGGGAGAGTTATCCACCATATGATGGTTGGGATGACTCTCACGGTAACACCCAAGCAGGTACTGCAACGAAAGCATATGATTATGCTGACGTAAGGGAGGACTTTCGCCTCCTCATGTAGATGGTCCACTGGTGTCATGAGGAGGCACCCTGTCGCAGTTCTCAGGGCAGCGTTCTGGCAGGTCTGGATATTCTTCCACTGCGTAGCACTAGTATTCGCAGACCACACTGGAGCCGCATAGTTGACCACAAACCGACCTATCGCGTTATAAGAGGTCAACAAGGTTTCTTTGTCCGCACCCCAAGAGCTGCCGGCTAGCGCCTTGAGGACCTTGTTCCTACTTTTCATCTTGTCGCAGATAGCTGTGGCTTGCGCGGACGACTTGAACATGCTGTCGAACGTTACCCCAAGAATCTTGGGGTAGTTCGTGGTCGGTATTAGATTCCCCTCGACCTGAACATTCAGCTGTGTTCTCATCTCCGCAGACCATGTGGTAAAGAGTGTGGCCGTTGATTTCGTGGCGGATATTTTCATATTCCTCGCGTGGAAGTATGCGGCAAGCTCCGCGAGATAGGGGTTCAACTTTTCGCATATGTCATCGACCACTGGACCCGACGCCATGATCGTACAATCATCCGCATACGTTACGATCTCAATGCCGTCTGGAGGGCGAGGAATTCCGGAAAGATAGAGGTTAAACAGTTCCGGAGATATCACCCCGCCTTGGGGAACTCCCTGTTTCACTCTACGGGCTTTGGACTTCTTGTTCCGGAATTCCACGTACGACTGGCGTCCACACATATAGTTGATTATCCAACGTTTCAAACTTGGCCGGAGGGTAGTTCTCTGTACGTCCTCAAACAGTGTGGCATGATTGACCGTATCAAATGTCTTTGATAGGTCAAGGGCTACCAACACTGTTCTGTCACACGGCCTGTTCTGGTTCAGTCCTCTACTAATATGTGTGGAAATGGCGTGTAATGCTGTTGTGGTACTATGTTGTGGACGAAATCCATGCTGGTGGTTGGCAACTGTATAGCTTCCTCTAATGCTGGGGAGGAGTAAAGCCTCAAGAGTCTTTGCTACTGGCGACAAAAGCGAAATCGGCCTGTACGATTCGCCTTTACTGGCATCCTTGCCTGGCTTCAGTAGCGGGACCAACCGGCCCATTTTCCAGGTTTCGGGCACTATGTGGGTGGCTAGCGACAAATTGAGAACTTTCGTTAAGTACTCGACTCCCGGCGTATCCAGCTGCTTCAACATTACCATTGAGATTCCGTCCGGGCCCAACGCTTTGGATGACTTAGCGTTACGGATGACATTTGCAACATCACCCATCGTAAACTGTGGTGGTTCCTCCTCGGCGGGAAGAGACCTGATACGACGTAGTACTCTTCGCTTCGCCCTATCGCTCTCGGGGTGCTCGACAAATTGTCGGTTAAAATATTCCGCGCACCTCTTCGGATCAGTCACCGTTACGTCGTTAAAAGTGACTGAGGTCCTATCATCCTTTTTTCCAGGGTTCGAGAGCGATTTAACCGTTACCCACAGCTTACTCATATCGGTTCCAATGTTGCAGCACTTCAGATGGTCTAGCCACTTTTTCCTCTTATGCTCCTGTACCAACCGGTTGACTTCCACTGTCAAATCACTGATTCTAGGATCAGTAGGGTTGGTACGACGGAGATCATCACGCTCATTTGCTAATCCCGCTGCCTCTGCTGGGAAGTTTGGTCTTATCTCGGGTTTTCGACCAGCAGGTATATAGCGAGCGGCTGCAGCTCTGATGATGTTTCGGAAAATCCTTTCTGCTACCCGAACATCAGAAGGGTTGGGCAGTTCTCTGAAGCGGCGGTTGGTGAATTCTCTGAACTCTGGCCAGTGAGCTTTCCCATGGTTAAGGAAAATGCGGCGTTCAGAGGTTATGAAATCGGGCGACCTGCTTATGGAGACGATTATCAAGAGATGGTCTGAGCCAAGAGAAATGACGGGTTGCCAAGTCACGTCATTTATCAGACCGGGTGACACTATGGTTAAGACTGGCGAACTGTGGCACTCTCCTCTTATTCGGGTGCATCCTCGTTAACCGTGCAGAATGTGGAGCAGTCAATCTGCTCTGCCAGCGCTGATCCCCTCTGGTCATTACCTAGGACGGAATGCCACAACTCATGGTGGGCATTAAAATCCCCTAGTACCAGGCGGTTATTGCCTACCAATAATGGGCTAATATCAGGCAAATAACGCGGTTCACAGCTATTAATCGGCGGGATATACACATTAAGCACCTCTACCTCGGCAGTTCCACACTTGACTGCTACCCCCATACATTCCATGTATGGGTCACTAGAGACTAGCTCAAGCGAGATAGGCCTGTACTGAACAGAATGGTGTAACAGGAACGCTAATCCCCCACCTCCACTTCTGGTGCGATCCTTCCTTAGTACGTTGTAACCATAACAACGTTGTAGGCTGCAATTTTCATTCAGCTTGGTTTCCTGCACCGCTGCGATCTTAATATTCCTCCGACTCATAAATTCCACTATCTCATCTATTTTGCCTCGAAGTCCGTTGCAATTGAATTGCAAGAACGATGCACAATCCGGAGTTGGAACAGCAACATGTGGCGTTAGGTGCTGCGGTGATGGTTGCTGTTCTGGAGACTGCGGTGGAGTGCCATACTCCGACGACGTCTCTGACGAGGACGACGAAGAAGAGGACTCGCTGGGGACTACGTTACTGCAGCAAGTCGCAACATAATCCCTTTCGCTGTAGTCTCGCAAACGCCTTAATCCGGAACAGTTCTTGAAGTGCACCCACTCTCTGCATCCATTACATCGCACCGAGACAGATCTGTGGTGGATGACGTTCTGACAAACCGAGCAGA